GGCGTGGTGGCTCACGTCTGTAATCCTGCACTTTGGGAGGCCGAGGTGGGTGGATCACCAGAGGTCAGGAGTTCAAGACCAGCCAGGCCAACATGGTGAAACTTCATCTTTTTAAAAAAAAAAAAAAAAATTGGGGGTTCGCTTGTTTGTTGTGGTTACGACTCCTTCACAGGTGGTGGTGTTACTTCATCAGGAGGTACGTAATGTCCATTAGTGGCTCTTTTTGTGTGGTTTGCAGCTATGCTTATTATTGCGAAGATCTATTAATTAATCAGGGCTTGCAAAATGGTGACCGTATATCATTTCTGTTTACCAGCTGGAATATTATAAAGAGATACTTCCTCTCATCGTTTATTTGGTTATTCTGAGATATAGTTAGTACAGTTTGTATAGGAAAGGCTTGATTTTTTTCCCCCACTTTATCAGTTTATAAAATAAGGAATTGCTTTCTTGGCTTTCTCAAGATTTGTCCACTGAGTTCTTGTATCATTATGAATTTAAATATATTTGGTGTCTTTCAATCTGTTGGGGTTATTATCCTTCTTGGTGCTCAGGTTGTCCCATCTTTGACCCATGATAACTCATTCAGTTTGACTTCTGAATTATTTCAACACAATCCTTGTGGTCTGATATCTTCCTTGCTTTCTAGTATGTCTAGGCTCATCTTCCACATTTTCCACCCAGACCTGGAATCAGCTATTTCTCCAGGAAGGTCTGACTTCCTTTACTGGGAAATGCTATTATTTAGCAACTACCATCTAGATACTGGAGTGTTCATGATTGTTGGGTTTGTTAGTACTTCTAGAACTTTTCAGTAGATGGGACTATTAAATGTGGTTATTTTATTTTGAAGGAAAAATACATCATGAGTTCATATTGATACTTTGAATTGAAATTGTAACTTTCAGTTGAACATCATTTATTTTATGTTTGAGTCTCCCAGTTATTGTTGATGAAAGTCTCAGTTCCTAGCAACACTAACATAACACATTTACTTTATCCTACTCTGTATATAGTAGTTTGAAAATCACAATAAGATATTATTAGTAACAATTTGATTATTGAATGTAGTTTTAAGTAGTTTAAGATTTTCCAAGGTTCTTTTTATTATTAAGCTAAGGAAGGCCTCATTGGGCATGTATAGTCATGTTCCTATGTTTTAAAGTAATTTGAAAGAGTTATCTGAGTGTTTAACCAGCTTAATATATAGTTAGGTTTCTTTGTTTTAGTTTGTTTTCCATTTTTAGGGATTGCTCTTTTTAGCATTTTGATTTTTTTAATCCAACTTTAATTTTGAAATGTTTCAAACCCATGGAAAAGTTGAGAGACTAAAATAGTGAACACTCATATGCCTTTCACCTTAGATTCATCAGTGAACATTTTACCACATTTGCTTTTCTCTCTTCCCTCTTGCCCCCCACTACATGCAGTTTTTTTTTTGTTTTTGCCAAACCCTTTGAAGGAAGTGTGGCCATGATATTTCAACCCTAAATACTTCAGCATGCTAGGAATAAGGGATTGTCCTATCTAACCATAATTTCATATTATACCAAAGAAAATGAATAATTGCATTTCATAATATTTAATCTTCAATCCATATTTGAATCTCCCTAGATGTTCTCAAAGTGTCTTTTATACTTTTTTTTCTTTTTGAAGCTAGTATCCAATAAAAATTTATGAGTTTCTTTTGTTTATTATGTCTCTTTAGTTTCTTTTAATATGGAGCTATCCTTTTACCTTTTATTCATGGCATTGATCTTTTGAAGAGTCTATGAGAGTTTTCTTGGAAAATGTCCCACATTATGTATATGTTCTTTTTTTACAGTATTATTTAACCTGTTCTTCCAACCCTTGTATCTCCTATAAATTGGAAATTTGATCTAGTCTGGAGGCTCAATGGATTCATGTTAAGTATTTTTTGGCAAGAACATTTCATTGGTGAGCTTTATGTGGCATTCCTCCAGGAGGTACATGATGTCAGGTTGTGCCTTCTATTAGTGATACTGAGTTTGATCCCTCAGTTAAGTTGTCAGTTGCTACGTTTTTCAGCGCTAAACATACACTTTTGCCTTTGTCATTAATTAGTAATCTTTAGAGTGATGCTTTGGCATCTTGTGCCTGTCTTGTTCCCCAACAATTTTTTACCCAGTGGTTTTCACATTTTGATTTAATTTTCTTTTAATAGTTATATATAACATCTTAATGTGTTTCTAAAACCAAAAGTATAAAACAAGGTACATGAAGAGAATTCTTTTTTTTTCCTTTTTTATCTTACTTCAATTTTCTGTGGAAACGAAGAGAATTCTTATTTCCATACCTGTCCCCTTCACCTCTCTTTCTCAATAGATAACCCTTTAATTAGTTTTTGGATTATTCTTTTTGTTGCTGTTACAGGTTTAAAATACAAATATATTTGTATTCCCTCTACCTTCACTTAAATAAAAGATAGCATACAATTGTGTACCTTTCATATTTTACTTAAAAACCTATCCTGGAGACCACTCCAAAGTAGTGTATAGAGATCGTTATAAGGGCTTTCTAAAATGTACATATGTTTGTGTCCTTATTCTTAAAATCATTCACTGATACTTCACCTTTCTTATCATAAAATCTAAACCTTATAAGGCCCTTTATAATCTGGCTTCTACTTGTCTATCTAGCATCTTCTCTTTCTGTGCCCTCCCCCAACACACTTGTACACATGCATCAGTGCACACACAATTGCTACTACTGCCATATTGATTTTTTTTTTTTTTGCTTTCAAAGTTTATTAAAGTTGATCACTTTTTAAAAAAAAAATTTTTTTTTTGGACGCATCAGATATTAAACTGATAAGAAGAGATACTACACTTGATCTTAGCCAAAAGGCCAGGAAGCGATAAAGTTGATAAAGTTACTCTTTTTTTCTTTTGTTGGGGGACAAGGCCTCGCTCTGTCATCCAGGTGGTAGTGCAGTGGCACCATCATGGTTCACTGCAGCCTCAATCTCCTGGGCCCAAGCAGTCCTCTCACCTTAACCTCCCAAGTAGCTGGGACTACAGGCATGTGCCACCATGCCTGGCTAATTTTATTTATTTATTTATTTATTTTTGAGACGGAGTTTCACTCTTGTTGCCCAGGCTGGAGTATAATGGCTCCATCTCAGCTCACCGCAACCTCCCCCTCCCAGGTTCAAGTGATTCTCTCCTGCCTTAGCCTCCCGAGTAGCTGGGATTACAGGCATGCATCGTCACGCCTGGCTAATTTTTTGTATTTTCAGTAGAGACAGGGTTTCTCCATGTTGGTCAGGCTGGTCTCAAACTCCCGACCTCAGGTGATCTGCTCGCCTCAGCCTCCCAAAGTACTGGGATTACAGGTGTGAGCCAATGTGCCCGGCTAATTTTTTTATTTTTGTAGCGACAGGGTCTCCCTATGTTGCCCAGGCTGATCTCAAATTCCTATTCTCAAGCCATCTTCCCGACAGCCTCCCAAAATGCTGGATTAAAGGTATGAGCCACCATTCCTGGCTTGCTTTCTCTTGAATTCTTTTCAATTCAGTGAGTGGACCATGAGCAACCTCCCCTGGCTTTTTTTTTTTTGTGATACTCCCACTGCATAGAAGTCTATTCCTGGCCGGGTATGGTGGCTCACGCCTGTAATCCCAGCACTTTGCGAGGCTGGAGCAGGTGGATCAGTTGAGCTCAGGAATTTGAGACCAGCCTGGGCAATATGGTGAAACTCTGTCTCTACAAAAAGTACAAAATTAGCCAGGCATGGTGGTGCGTGTCTGTAGTCCCAGCTACTTGAGAGGCTGAGGTGGGAGGATCACTTGAGCCTGGGAGGTGGAGCTTGCAGTGACCAGAGATCATGCCATTGCACTCCAACCTGAATGATAGAGTGAAACTCTGTCTTCAAAAAAAAAAAAAGAAGTCTGTTCCTTTTCTCTGTCCTCACTTGTTCATCCTGTAGGTCTTAGCTTAAACATATTCTTGGGCCAGGTGCAGTGGCTCACACCTGTAATCCCAGCACTTTGGGAGGCCAAGGTGGACAGATCACGAAGTCAGGAGTTCGAGACCAGCCTGACCTACGTGGTGAAACCCGTCTCTACTAAAAATAAAAAAAGCCAGGCATGGTGGCACGCACCTATAATCCCAGCTACTCGGGAGGCTGAGGCAGGAGAATCGCTTGAACCTGGGAGGCGAAGGTTGCAATGAGCTAAGATCACACCACTGCACTCCAGCCTGGCCGACAGGGCAAGACTGTCACACACACACACACACACACAAAACATTCCTGGAAGCCATTTCTAGCTCCTGAGTCTGAGTTAGGTGTCTTGTGTGCTGATTCAATACTGCCTGCTTATCATTATTTTCACATTCATCCTCTAGTATTCTGATTGTTTCCTTACGTGCATTCCTCTGTTAGACCCCTGAGCTCTGTGAGTACAGAAATACCATATCCTCACAGGATATGATGGCCCCAGAGCCTGGCACTTGGTAGGCATTCAGTAAATATTTATTGACCAAAAGTGGCAGAAAGGCACAAGCCCAGACATGCATTGTAATATCCATAAGAACTAAAACCAAACTCAAATGGAATTTGCTCAGATGTAGCGATCTGAGCAGAAAACGTGAATTGCCTTACTTATCATGGAGCTGTAAGTGTAGTCCAGAGCAGCCAGTGTGGGAGCCTCCAGGTCACCCTGAGATGGTACTGGCTCACGGCCTGGGCTGACAGCCAAAGAGGGACACCACCAGCTGCTCCTCCTGAGAGACAAAGAGGTCGGCAGGGCCTGGGGGAAGGGCTAGAGATGAGAAAGCAGCACCTCAGCCTATAATTTCCAGAGATGGTGGGAATGGTTACTATGGGCAGGATCTGGTGGAAAGAACCGAGCTGGAGAAGAAGAACCTGCCCTCTGTATATGTGCAGGCGCCCAGGCCACATTTCGGTCAGTCATCTCAGTGGGGGCCTGGGCACAGAGGCCAGGCCCTTCTTGATATTGCTGGGCCCGGGACTTACAGGATGCCCAGGCTGAGGAAGAGATCAAACAAGAGATGAACACACTGCAGCAGAAGCTGAATGAGCAGCAGAGTGTGCTTCAGCGTATTGCCGCCCCCAACATGAAGGCCATGGAAAAGCTGGAAAGTGTCCGAGATAAGTTCCAGGAGACCTCAGATGGTAAGGTTTACCCTTCTACTTGGCCTACGATGAGGACAAGAGGCTAAAAATATGCCACGGGCCTGCTGTACATCACAGCAGTTCCTGTTTTGACATGCTTTCTTACTTAAAACTCCCAGGAGCCCTAAACAGTAGGAGTTATTATACCTGCTTTTATAGAACGGAAAATTGCGGTTCCCAGAGGGTAAATGACCTGTTCAAGGTCACACAGCTGGTAGCTGGTAGAATCCAGGTAGGAATCCATTTTTATGTGGCTCCAGGCCCCTGTTTCTTACTCTGCACTGTATCCAATGGCCAGTCCACTGGATACAGATCCTTCTGGGACCCTCCTCAGGCATTTCCCTCTCTTGGTGGGATGTCCTGCTCTGGATTGTCATTTGCAGGCCATTCTTGCCAGGGCACTGAGGGATCACCTGTCTGTCTTTCTGGCAGAATTTGAAGCAGCCCGAAAGCGAGCAAAGAAGGCCAAGCAGGCATTTGAACAGATCAAGAAGGAACGCTTTGACCGCTTCAATGCTTGTTTTGAATCTGTGGCTACCAACATTGATGAGATCTATAAGGCCCTGTCCCGAAACAGCAGTGCCCAGGTAGGCTGGAGTCCCTTACCCAACCAGCTGCTACCATCCTCAGTTGCTCTACCCTCCGGGATTCCTCTCCCTATCTCCATCCAGACTCAGATACAGATCCTGACCCATCTGCCTTCCCCTAGGCATTCCTGGGCCCTGAGAATCCTGAAGAGCCCTACTTGGACGGCATCAACTATAATTGTGTGGCTCCTGGGAAACGCTTCCGGCCTATGGACAACTTGTCAGGGGGGGAGAAGACAGTGGCAGCTCTGGCCCTGCTCTTTGCCATCCACAGGTAAGGCTGACCCCCTAGGGCAGTTGACGAAGAGACCGAACTGAGGCCACCAGAGGCTCTGGGGCTGAAGGATATGCAGAGATCAGTGAAGGTGAAGATGGTTTGGTGGAAACTGGATTGCATCCCTGTTTCACTGTCTACTGCAGTATATCTGGCTTTGGTTTTCCTGGACTTGTCTTCCCCATCTACCCTCATCCACTCAGCATGTCCTCACTGGCCCGTGCATGTATTCAGTCCCACCTCCAGGGTTTTGCTCACAAGATTGCTGGCTAATAATCCCTTTCCATGCAAATCTAGCTTGATCATCACTTTTACCCTTTCACCCTTCCTCATTCTTCTCCCCTTCCTTTAGGAAGCCCTCCTTGACCACTGTGTCATACCCTGACCTTTCCCTCCTGAATGCCAGTAGTACTTGAGTCTGACTCCTGCAACTTAGTGCTAGATTGTACAGCATCAGTTTCTTGAGTGCTGCTCTGTACCAGACCCTGCAGAGGGATTGGGGACACAGATGTATCAGACATGGTCTCTGACCTAGAGAAGCTCACAGTCTAGTAGAAGCCAGATGCATAAACAGTGTGTTAAGTGTTGTGACCGGGTGAGAGTGTGCTATGGATACACGGAAGAGATACACTTAACCCAGTCTGTGGGGAGGGTGTGGGTAGGCCAGGGAATGCTTTTAAGGGCAGGTGCCACTTGAGCAGGAGATGTAAAGGATGAATAGAAGTTTGCCAGGGAGACTAGCAGGCATTCTAGGCTGAATGTACAGCATATGCAGAGGCAAGGAGGCATGACAGAGCATGCTGTGATGGTGTGTGTTGGGATGGGGTGGACCTCTAGGTAGCTCAGTCATTGGACAACTTTAGCTCCCCAGCCAGCCTGCAAGCTCCTGAGGGGACCATATCTTCTTGTGGTTCTGTGGGAACCTGGAACACAGCTTAGTGCAGAGGGGAGGGTGTTTGTTGATGTATTGGCTTTTAGGGGCTCAGGCAACTTTGAGACCTGGGTTTTTTAGTCTGAAGAAGTGGAGTGGGAAGCTGGCCTGTTTGATGGGCCCTGGGGCTGTCCCACCCTGCCTTGCCGCCCCCTCCCCACCTCAGTGTCAGCTCACCTACTGGTTCCCTCCCAGCTACAAGCCAGCCCCCTTCTTCGTCCTGGATGAGATTGATGCTGCCTTGGATAACACCAACATTGGCAAGGTGGGTGCAAAGAAAGTGGGGCCTGGGAGGGATGCCCCCAGGTTGGGGCTGGGTTTCAGGGAGCAACTCCTGAGTGTGCCCTAGCTGTTCCTGCTGCCTGTTCTCTGTGCCCAGAAGGCTGGGCCCAGAGTCATCCATGCTGTGGTAGTCAGTAGTCTCCTTTTCTCAGCCTCTCTTTCCCTCACCTTCCTCCCACTACCCTACCTCTGCTGCCTTCTGGTTGTGGCTGGAAATTACAGGGGAGTGTTAAGGCTTGAGCCTTGCTAAGTGCCTGGAGGCCTTTCCCACAGGTGGCAAATTACATCAAGGAGCAGTCGACTTGCAACTTCCAGGCCATCGTCATCTCCCTCAAGGAAGAGTTCTACACCAAGGCCGAGAGCCTCATTGGAGTCTATCCTGAGGTAGGGTGGGCCTGGCTCAGGAGCCAGCCCTACTCCCTGCCTGACTTCCCAGGGCAGGAAGGGAAGGCTGCAGTGGAGGGGAAAAGGGGTGGGGGAGCATAGGGAATCAGGTCCTGAATGGCCATTTGGGCTTATTGGAGTTCTGCCTCTGGAGGCTTAGCCAGCCCAGCCAGGCAGGGCCATTGCATTTGGGGACAGATGGAAAGGTAGGCAGAGGCAGTGGAGAAAGGAGGAGAGTACAGAAATAGGCAGGGAGAAAAGGCACATGGGACTGAGCACATCCTTTCACACCCAGAGAGAACCATTGCCTGGGCTTTGGGCAGGAATGTAGGGAAGAGGGTTTGAGGCCCCTGGTCCTGGGGCATTAGACCCCTGTTAATTATCTCCTTACAATTTTATTTTTCTTTTTCTCCCTCCTTCAGCAAGGGGACTGTGTGATCAGCAAAGTCCTGACCTTCGACCTCACCAAGTACCCAGATGCCAACCCCAACCCCAATGAGCAGTAGCAATAGTTCTACCCTCCTGCCCTGTCTGGATCCCTAAGGTGTCCCTCTCCCAATCTCTGGATGTTTGACTCCCAACCTTTCCCCTGCCTCCTGGCCCTTTTTGGTGTAGTCATGGGATTTAGGCACTGCTAATTAAGCACGAAGAGGAACAGAGGTGATGTTAGGTCTAGAGCAAAAATTCCTGAGTGACAAGGAGTATTCTGGCCTCTGGAAGGAGGTGCTGAGCTGAACAGGGCCATCTGTTCATCACACACACCCCCTTCCTCCCCCTCATCACCCATCATCATGGGTCCCTTGGGCCTCTTGCCCACTGTGTGTGTGGGTACGTATGGTGTATGTATGTATCCTCATGTGTGCATGTATGTTTGCAAAATAATAAAGGATATTGGAAACCTGTTTTAGAAGGAGCCTAGGCTGAATTTGATTTCAAGAGAGCTTACGATGACAGCACCCCTGAGCTGGGCAAAGGTACTCAGGACCTCATAGGAGTCTCAGGCAGTTACCTGAAACTGCCTTCATTCACTCATTTGTGTATTCATTCATGTATGTATTCATCAGACACATACTGAACACCCTCTATTTGTCAAGCTCTTTGCTTGGAATACAGAGTTGAATCAGACATGATCTCTACCCTCCTAGTAAGGAGATACAGTGGTTCATGAATGACTATCGTTAGCTGAATGTCTTATGTACTTTGAATTTGAGAAGAGGGTGATCACCTCTAGGCTTCTTGGAGGTCACATTTAAGCTGGACCTTGACAAATTGGTAGGATTTGGTCAGGCACTAGTTGCAGAGCATGAGCTCTGGGGACAGACTGTTATGGGTTCTGGTCCCACTTTTTATCACTTACTAGTTGTTTGACCTTGGGCAAGTCATTTGACCTTCTGTGCCTCAGTTTCCTCATCTGTAAAATGGGGCTAACAATATTACCTACCTCATAGGATTTAATGATGTCAAGCTCCTCAGTGGAGGCTTTATCCCTTCATGGAGCCCACTTAGGTGCCAATTCCTCAGAATATAAGCCTCATGCCTAGACTCCTGAGAGCTTCTGATCCCAGCTATTAGGGACAGAAGAAGCCTCCAAATCTGGAAGGTGCTGAATGCCCTGCTGACTGGGAAAGTTTCAGGGCACTGATGGGGTCTACCTGGTAAGTGGAGGGCCTGAGGAAGCCTGTAGCTTCAATCATATATGGTAGCCGGGTACCGGAGCCCCAATCTGGGTTGTGAGGAAATAGGGTAGAGGTAGCCTGGGCCACGTCCCAGCCTAACACGTGTGAGGTTCACTTGAGGAACTAACCTCATAACTATAAGGAACATGCAGAGACAGCGAAGCCTGGTGTGATTAGCTCAGCCTTCACTCATTCACATACACCATCATACTTTTATTCCAATCTGTGTATTGATTTTTTTGCTTTTTAAAAGTTAAGTCTATTCTAATTACTCAAACATTGCATTAATGCATTCTCGTTTTGAGAAATTAGATTGTTAGAGATAAAGGTAGTCTCATTCAGCTACCAACCACTCCCCCTTCTGATCCTTTCCTTCTTAGTGGCTTTTATGTTTGTTGTACTTCCATTTAGACTGTTTTAATACTTGTACGTACATATACGAACTCACTGGAAACATTGTGTGTTTAATGCAAATGGTATATTGTTTAGCAATTTGTTTTCTTTGCTTAACAATGTTTTTCTGATCTGTGCATGTTACTTAATGTAGATCAATCCATTCTCTGTAATTGCTTATAGATTGCCATCATATGACTACCACATTTTACTTAACACATTTCTCTTGTGATGGACATTAAGACTGTTTTCAGGTTTTGCTATTACAAAATACTACACAGGAGCATCCCTAGGCCTATGTGAAAGTGTGTATGTGAAAGTTTACCTAGGGTCGATACCTAGTAGTGAACTGCAAAGTCATAGGATATTTATATATTGGTTTTTAATAGATACTTCCAAATTGCCCTCCTGTACTATTTACTCAGTATTTTTCTTAAGGTAATCTGAGGTCTAACATTGTTATCCTATATCATTTTCATCCCAAGTAGTGATATCTGTGAAGTCACAGGTTTGATATGTGCTAATTATGTATTTTTCTAATACATATTAAAAGACATAACTATCAAAACAAAATAAATTTGTCTGTTTTCAACCAAAGAAGTCACATACCAGTAGTGGTACTGTGTGCCATAATTTGGCAAATGCTGGCCTATCTGGAAGAGCACAATTTGGGGGTCAGACCTGGTTCAAATTTCAGCTGTAGAAACTTGGGCAAGTTATTTCATCTCTGAGCCTAAGTTTCCACATCTGTAAAAGGAGATAAGAAATACCTACCTTGCAGTAGTGAAGCAAAGAGAAAATTAAATATATCTGAACCAATTTGGCTGGTATCTAGATCATCACAGCCCTTTAAAAGTCACCTTTGCTATTCTCCCCACTTTACAGGTAAGGAAACTGAGGCCCAAAAAGGTTTGAACCCAGGTCTTCCAAGTCATTCAAGTGCTTTTTCCACTGTACAGGTGGTTATCAACCTTGGCTGCACATCAGAATCATTTGTAAAGCTTTTTCCTTTTTAAAAGTAAAGCAGTATATACACAGGTAAAAAATAAAATAGTACAGAAGCTTATAATGAGAAGCAGCAGTTTCCTGCTCGCACCCCCACATCCAAAGGATGTGGAGCTCTTTAAAAATCAATTGCTCTGGTCCCGCCTCTGGAAATCTGATTCAGTAGGCGTGGATGGTAACCCAGATAACTAACCCCTACCTCACAGGATAAAAAGGATTACATGAGACGCCTTGGGATAAGGCCCTGGCAGACAGGAACACATATGGTACAAAGGAGCTTTGGGGACTTAAGTCCTGAGGATCCCGGAGGTAAGGTGACTTGTCCAAGATTCCACTGGTTTAGTGGAAGAGCCTAGTTTCCAGTCAGATCTATTTAGTGCTTGCCCCCTGCTCTCTCCTGTTGTGCCCCACCACCTCCTCTCATCAAAGGGCAACCCTTGTCAGTGAAGCGTGTGCTTGCAGGAGGCCGCACACCACCGTGTGTTTCCAAGGATAAGCTGGATCCGAGTAGATTCCCTAGGGCTTGTTGGAGAAACTAGTTTGACTCTCTTACACTGTGGACACAGTAGCCTTGCTCTGGGAAGTTGAAGAGTACTCCACAACAGTATCTAAGTTTAATTGGGCACTTCCCTCTGGAAATCAGTGTTGCGCACCAGGAACACAAAGATGAGTCAAATCTTTATCCTGCCTTTGAGGAGCTTTCTAGTTGGGGAAGCAATTTGTAAAATGGCCATTAACTATACAGTGTGATCAACACTCTTGACAGGAGCACAGGAGAAACGTCTAGCTTATGTGAAGATTCAGGGAAGGCATCCTCTAGTCTAGGTGGTGACACCTGAACTGAGTCTTGAGAGACTGGCAGGAATTAGCCAGTTGAGGAAGTGGAATGAATTTCCAGATATTGGAAACAATATGCATGAAGACATGAAGGCAAGAAACAGCAAAGCAATCAAATACTGAAGCGTGAAGATTCCTGGGGTGGGGGGAAAGCAGCAAGAAAACGTAGAGAGGAGCCAGATTGAAAGAGCATTGTAAATGCATGACTACAGAATTGAGCTTTGTCTTGTAGGACAGTGTGGTTCCCAAATTGGCTGTATACCACAAACACGTGGGGCATTCGGGGCCCCGACCTCAAAATTCATTAAGTGAGGACTTGAAATCTTGAATGCTTGTAAAGGTTACCACATGACTAGGGTACAGCCAAATTTGGAAACCATAGCTTGAAGGCAATGAGGAAGCCATGAGATGGTTTTTAATAGGGTGTCTTCAGATCAGATGTGAACTTAACCTGTTTCTGGCTGCCTAGCCAACCAGCGTAGAAACAGTTTAGGTTAGATGTTCATGCTGTATGTGCCCGTGCCTGTAGCTTCCCTGTTAATCAGCTTCTTACACTATATTTGCTTGTGTTGTCTCTGAATAAGCTTTAGGCACCACAAGGGTGGGGGCCTTGGGATATTTTGCTTACCAGTATAGCCCCTGCAAAAAAGCACAGTGCCTGACACAAAACAGGCACCCAGTAAAGTTTTTGAATGAATGAATGCATGAGTGAATGCATTTGTGAGAGAATGAATGGAGACAGGTAGATTAGTTAAGAAACTGTGGAAAAGACCAGGAGGCCTGCACTAGGGCAAAGGCCAGTAGGAATAGAATGGAGGTGTTAAGGTGTGAACTGTTAAGGGAAGATGATAAACTGGACTTAATGACTGATTACTGGATGTGGAGGGTGACTGAGAGGATAGAATGAGTACCCATGAATAGTCAGGATTCTTACCCTATCCGTCATCTCTTTCCTTATCCGTCTCTGAAACAGAATATCCTTACATCCTCCTCAGCAATTGGAATTCCTCCCTCAAGTTAGACATTTTGTGTGCTGTGTGGTCTCTCACTGCCCCTCCCCTCCTCCACAAGCCATTGATTCATTCATCTAGTTCAATAAATCTTGGCTAAGCACTTCCAGTGTGCAGTAAGGCTCTTCCAAGCCAGGACTCTACTCTCTCTTTCCTACCTCACATGTTTTTGAGGGCTTTCCCAGGTAAGAGTCACATCTCTTATACAATAACTTAGAGTGAGACACCCAGAATGTCAGACCTTTAAAGGAAGACTGCCCAAACCCCTTCTGAGGTCCTCAGAGGGGAATTAACTTCCTAAGGTCCCACTGCTAGGAAGCATTGGAGCCAGAAATAGAACCTAGGTTTTCTTTCTATGTCATCTCTAGAGTCTTGATCTATCCCATTGTAAATCAGGACAGGCAGAGGTGGTCAGGGAGAAGGCGAGACTTAGATTCAACCTTGAAGGTCGATGTATTGGACAGTCCAAACAAGATGCTTGCCAATTACCTTGCCCACTTCTGGAAACCGTTAGCAAACCTGCCATGCCTGCAGTCCCTTCTAAGGGATTTCTTTAGCATAAGTTGCAATGCTCTGTACCATGTGACCTCACAATCCTGGCCACAGATAGCTAGATGGGGATAGTGTCTGACTCAAGGGCAGCCAAGCTCTAGGCTGGCCAGCAGCCTATTAACTGGACTGGCATAAGGACTGCACCTTACAGGGGTGGCATGTATCAAATGGCAAATACATGAAACAACCAGATCTTTCAGGGAGGCTGAATGTGAGGTGTTCAGAAAAAGTGAACAGTTAATTAGACTTTAATGAGGCATAAGTGGTGGTGGATGAGGGGCGGCCAGAAAACTAAACAGCAAAAGCAAAGAGAAAGCTGCAGAAACCATAAATAAGCAGAGGTCATGAGACATTTGTATAATGAGATCATGGGGCCACAGGGTGGCAGAAGCCATGAAGCAGCAAGGCAACAATGGGCTAAAAGGACGCAGAAGCCATGAAGCAATAGGAGCCACGAGGAACAGAAACCATGAGACAAAACTGGCTATGAGATTGACAAAGCACCAGAAGGCTTGAATAGATAAATGAGACAGTAGAAGTGATGAGACTGCAAGAACCTCAAGGTAGCCAGAACCACATGGCAACATGGCAACAGGAATGGAAGAGGCAGCAGGAGCTACAGTGCAGAAAAGCCATGGATTAATAGGAACTGAAGCCCCAGGAGCCATGAAGCTGCAGGACCCAGGAGGCAGCAAAAGCCATGGGCTAGCATCGAGGGGGGCAGAAAGAAGTTAGTCAGTAGCAGTAGGAGGAGTATAAATACAGCTAGAAAGGAGTTGAGTCACCAATTTGGGAAGCACTAGAGAAGGGAGCAACAGATGCCTGTAGCTGAGGGGGTGACAAGATAAGCCAGGCTCTAGAGCTGCTTTGGATCATGAACCATTTTCAAGTTTCTGTTCTTCCATGAGGCTGCCTGTGTAGCAGTTCTTGTCTTCCTTATTTCCCTGTGAATGCTTTAATAAACCCCCATCACTAACCTAAGTGTGTCTTTGTTCCTTGAAATCTAAAAGAGGTTAACATTGTGGTGTGCAGTTTAGATGAGTGGAAAGCTGGGCAGGAGGTCTTTCTGGTGGGTTTGAAGCAAGACACAGAGTGGGAATTCACTTATCCTTTCCTGCCCTCACTGGCACGGGCACCTTTCATTCACTTGGCTTATTTTTATTCATTTATCCACTTGCCATTTATTCATTCACTTACATATGCACTAACTCACAACCTTACTTATTCATTCATGCATTAATGTAAGCATTTACTAGCTCATTTGTTCTTTCCTGTATTCACTCATTTTTCCATCCATTTGTTTAGCAGGCATGTGTTGAATTCCTGCCATGTGTCAGGCCCTGTGCTAGGTTCTGGGAATAAGATATACTTGCCCTCTAGGAGTTCTTGGCTTACTTGGGGACTCAGAAAGTAAACGGTTAAGTGCACTAAGTGTGGCAGATAATATAATGGAAGTCTAGGTAAGGCAAAGTGAGCATATAGGAAGTATTGGATGAGTTTCCCTGGTGTGGGAAAGCCTTTATAGAGGATGGGGCACTCGAACTGAGTTTTGAAAGAGGAATTAGTGCTTACCACGTGGAAAGGGAGGAAAGAACATTACAAACAGAGGAGCTGCCTAAGCAAAGTTAAATCAGGAGTGAAAGTGCATGGGTTTCAGGGGGACAGGGTATCGTCCCATGCAGTGGGAGAAGTGGTGGAATCCAAGCAGTCAAGCTTAGCTTTGACTCTGAGCAATGGGAAGCTGTAGAAGGGTTTGAAGCAGGGGAGTAACTGAGCCAAATTGGTATTTGGGAGGTGGTAGCTGGGGTGAAAGAAGGTTGGGGGCATGAAACACTGACCTAAAGAATGTATTTCATCCTGAGGTCAGGAGTACAAGACCAGCCTGACCAACATGGAGAAACCCCTGTCTCTATTAAAAATAGAAAAAATTAGCTGGGTGTGGTGGCACATGCCTGTAATCCCAGCTACTTGGGAGGGTTGCAGTGATCACAGATCATGCCATCGCACTCCAGTCTGGGTGACAGTGTAAGACTCTGTCTCAAAAAAAAAAGATATTTGAAAAAAGTACATTTGCCAGGAGCAGTGGCTTACCCCGGTAATCCCAGCACTTTGGGAGGCCAAGGCGGTGGATCACCTGAGGTACGGTGGCTGATGCCTGTAATCCCAACACTTTGGGAGGCCAAGGCAGAAGGACCACCTGAGGTCAGGAGTTTGAGACCAGTCTGGCCAACGTGGCAAAACCCAATCTCTCAGGCGCAGTGGCTCACGCCTGTAATCCCAGCACTTAGGGAGGCCAAGGTGGGTGGATCACCTGAGGTCAGGAGTACAAGACCAGCCTGACCAACATGGAGAAACCCCTGTCTCTATTAAAAATAGAAAAAATTAGCTGGGTGTGGTGGCACATGCCTGTAATCCCAGCTACTTGGGAGGCAGAGGCGGGAGAATTGCTGAACCCCGGAGGCAGAGGTTGCGGGTGCCATTGCACTCCAGCCTGGGCAACAAGAACAAAACTCCATCAAAAAAGAAAAATTAGCCAGTGTGGTGACATGCGCCTGTAATCCCAGCTACTCAGGAGGCTGAGAAGAGAATCTCTTGAACCTGAGAGGCAGAGGTTGCAGTGATCACAGATCATGCCATCGCACTCCAGTCTGGGTGACAGTGTAAGACTCTGTCTCAAAAAAAAAAAGATATTTGAAAAAAGTACATTTGCCAGGAGCAGTGGCTTACCCCGGTAATCCCAGCACTTTGGGAGGCCGAGGTGGTGGATCACCTGAGGTCAGGAGTTCAAGACCAGCCTGGACAACATGGCAAAACCCCGCTTCTACTAAAAATTTCAAGACCAGCCTGGAAAACATGGCAAAACCCCATCTCTACTAAAAATACAAAAATTAGCCAGGCCTGGTTGTGCATGCGTGCAATCCCAGCTACTAGGGAGGCTGAGGCAGGAGACTTGCTTGAGCCCAGGGGGCAGAGGTTGCAGTGAGCTGAGATAGTGTCACTGCACTCTAGCCTGGGTGACAGAGTGAGACTCCATCTCAGAAATAAAGAAAAAAAGAAAAAAGTACATTTAAGTGTGATACTATATTAAGACTCATAGGAACCCCCAAGGGAAGAGAGAGTTCTACCAGGGGACAAGGAAGACTTATGGAGGAGGTGGAATTTGAGCTGAGCCTTAAAAGGGAGGCTTCCAACTGGTGGAGATAAGGAGGAAGGGCTTTCCAGGCCTGGGAGACAGAAAAACAAGAAGGTGGGACTAAATATGCCCTGTTTGGGCTAACAAACATTCCATTTTGACTAGAGCAAAGAGGCTCCACCTAAGGGAGAAGCAGGAAGAGAGACTGCAGGGTTTCCCAAACTTTATTATATTCTGCTACAGTAGGTCTGGAGGGATAAGGGAATTTGAGGGGAGGAGGGTTGTGGGCAGGAGTGTCCTTTTTAAAATTTTTTTCTCATTTTAAAATAGAAGTAATCCATGTACCTTATTTAGAAAACTCAAATCAGTAAAGTCAAATCACTACAGACGGACTCGTGAAAAGCAAAAGTCTACTGCCCCACACATCCCCACCCCCACTCTCACTTTTAGCAGCCACTTTTAGTTATTTATTCTGATTTTTATCTCCATACCTACATAATATGTGGGCATTTAAAAAATCATCACTTTCAGACATTACCCGCTGATGGCCTGCTGTGACAGATGAGGATTTAGATTATTTATAGCAAGTTCAACTCCTTCCTGCTTCTAGTATAATTTAGTTTTTCTATTAGTTATTGAGTAATGCCTTTATTTCCTGTTCCATGAACTACAGACAATATTTCTAAACTAGAACTTTGTTAGAGAGAATGCCCTTTCCTATAGCACTCTTCCTCACCATTAACCTCCCAACTTCTGTCATCTGGTCTTTCATATTGTCAAAACCTAACATTAAATTCTACTCTGTAATCATAATTGAGTTTTTTTGATGTTTGTCTGTAGTTGGATTTTAAAAGTTGAAAATCAGTAAACAACTGTTAATATGGCTTGTGTATTCTTCATTGCAGAGCAAAGCAATGTACTTGTTTATACTTTTTTTATAGCAGCTTTCTATTTTTCCTGAAGTTTCTAATTCTTTTTTCCCTTTTTATCATATATTCCTCCTTTTTTAAAAAAAAATTTCATTACATTAGGAATTCCATCAAGTCTACTTTTTGCCCTTCAGGAGACCTTCCCAGAGCCCTCAATCTCCTTTTCAAATCTTCACTAGTTGCTTTCTAAGGTCTGATGCATAGCTGTCATCTTGGGGCTTCTCTTTACTGTTTTCTGTGGTTATGCCCACTGTTTACTGGTTCCCGAGATTTTTGTTTTGTTTGTTTGCTTGTTCCATTGTTTTGATGGAGCACATTGTCAAGTTTCTCAGAAAGGTCTTATAGAAAATAGACTTCCTGAGTCTTTGCATGTCTGAAAATATTTTTTGTTTGTTTGTTTGTCTTGAGATGGAGTCTCAGTCTGTCATCCAGGCTGGAGTACAATGGTGCAGTCTCGGCTCACTACAACCTCTGCCTCCTGTGTTCAAGCGATTCTCCTGTCTTAGCCTCCCGAGTAGCTGGGACTATAGGCACGTACCCCCATGCCTGGCTAATTTTTTGTATTTTTAGTAGAGACAGGATTTCACTGTGTTAGCCAGGATGGTGAAAATATTTTTATTCCATCCTCACACTTGGCTGTAAAGTTTGAAGAGCAATGTCATTTTCCCACAGAACTTTGAAGGCATTGCTTCACTTTCTTCTAGCATTCAGTTTTGGTGATAAGAAGTGTGATAGTCTGAGTCTCATTGCTTTATAAGTAACTTTCCCCATCACTTTTTCTCTTCTTTTTGGGACCTCAGTGATACAAATGTTAAATCTTTTATAATAGCATCACAGGTCCCTAAGGTTCTGTTTATTCCCACCCGCCACCCCTGGTTTGTTTTCTAGATTGGGTAATTCCTGTTGTTCTGTCTTCAAGATTGGTTTTTCCTCTGTCCTCTCCATTTTGCTGTTAGCCTATCTGTTGAGGTTTTTGGGGTTTTGGTTTTTTTTTTTTTTTTTTTTTTTTGTATTTTTTAGTTCTAGAATTTCCATTTGGTTCTTTATATCATCTGTTTTGTTGTTGTTGTTGTTTTGCTGACAGTTTCTACTTGTTTTAAGCATGTTTAAGCAAATTGTTGAGGCATTTTTGTGATAGTTCCTTAAAAGCTCTTGTCAGATAATGTTAACATTTCTGTCTTCTCAGTGTTGGTGTTTATTGAGCATCTTTTCTCATTCAGGTGAGTGATTTTTGATTGAAACTGGGTGTTTTTGGTATTGTGTTATGAGACGCTAGATCTTATTTCAATACTCGGTTTTAGCTTGCTTCCTCAGACACCACTCTGACAATGGAGGGTACACTACCTCATTACTGCAAGGTGGGAGTGGAAGTCCAGATTCCCCACTCACTTTCCATTGATACCTCACGAGGAGGGTTTTCTAGTTACTGCTAGGTGAGAGTGGGAGTTCCAGCTGCTTATGCAACCTTCTCTGACACCACCCAGCAGAAAGAGAGAGGGGTGACCACTTAAATCTAGTGAGGGTGGAAGTCTAAGCTTTCCCCTTGGCCTTTGATGGTGGGATGGAAGTGGGACTACAGCTTTCTTCTGTGGTGTTAGAGCAGTTATTATGTAATTGTTGGTTCCTCCAGCCCTACGTCTGGGATATATGAGACAAAAAACAAACTCAGGGAACTCACCAGTATGTCACTTCTCTGCTACCAAGTTTCCTACCCAGTTTGTCGCCTTCTATCCACCTTTCAGAATTTTATGTTTATACATAATGTCCAAGTCCAATTTTAGCTGTACTTGGTGGGAAGTATAGGGAAAAATACTTCTATTCCATCCATCCCTCCTCCTGTTATTTTTTAAGAATTGTATTCTTGGTATTCTGAAACTTCATAATTATGTGTTTAGGTTTCAGGTCTTTTGTCATTCATT